CTCCGTGCAATGGCCGTCCCATTTCATTGTCAGTTGTGCTGGTTTTTCCATTGTTCGCCATGATAGTAGTGTTTTGCAATCCGGCCCTGTACACCACTGGAACCTCTCAAGCTATACAGCCGAACTTTGGGCCATCCTAGTTGCCCTCACGACAGCTTCAGGTCCCGTGCACGTACGCACTGACTCACAAATCGTTTCTCGGCATGTGAACTCTTTGATCTCTGGGAGCGGAGTAGATAAAACATGGCCACTACAGGCATGGTGGAACTTCATGCACAACCTTTTTCGGCAACGACTCGCGCTTCACGACACTCCCTTGGTTTGTTCTTGGATACCAGCTCATGTTGCTGAGGATATTCCAGATTACTTGCTTTCGCATAGCATAGCAGATGCACACGGCACAACAGTCCTGGATATCTTGAACAACCGACGCGCCGACGTTGCGGCAAAAAAAGCCGCTTTGGGTAATGCTGCCATTCACGCAACAGTATACCCAGCCTTATGTCAAGCTGTTCTTCATCGTCAACAATGGCTTACTGGTTTGTGCAAGTTGATTGGGAACACACTTCCCCCGCGTGAGTCAGATTCTGAGGACGAAATTGACAGCAGTGCGCCGGATCCACAACACCGCTTTCCTCTTCTTCCTTGGAATGAAGATGTTGCAAAGTACCGTTGGCAGATTCCCTTTGAATTTGATCATACTCCACCTGCTTGCTGGCCGGCTGCGGCACATGATTGGTCGGTCTTCACGGCCTTCTTGAAAAGTCTGAAGTGGTTTGTACATGAGGACGCACGTATCTCCTATGCTGAACTGGCCGTACTTCTTGTTGGAAAGCAGTTCCGTTTGGAAGCTTTTAACGACGAGTTTTACACTTTCAAGACCCTGATATGTTGTGTGAAGAAGTGGTGCGGTCTTCTACTTCGGCGCGGATGGGGACCACTCTTTCCGGGCACCCATGATGCACATGAGCATAACGCCTGGGGAAAGACGATGCCCAGCGGCATTGTCGTTGGTGCGAGACCATGGAGGACGACTGAGGACCTTTGTTTTCTTACGTCTGTAGCGGACCGGGTCGTGAGAGCTAACCTCTCATCCTGGGAGTTTGCAGTTCATGAATTTTCAACTTGAACCTTTTCTTTGGTCTGTTTGTGGCCTGCTGGCTACCTTTTCGGGGTTTTCTTTAGGTCATCTTGTGGCATGCAGATGACCATGTACAGAAGGGATGAACCCTTCGTGTGCGCGAGAGGCAGAAAAGGCTTTACAATCCAAATGGGGAGGGGTTCATTAGAGTCTACATGATTCCTTTGGCAGGCGGTGAGTTCCGGAAAACAAAAGAGCAGGAAGCAACCTCCATCCTTGGTCCAACACCTCCAAATCCACCTGATGTTCTTCCAGTGGTGATAACTGGTGTCCAAGTGATCATCCCCGGCAAGGGATATGATGATCTCGTTTGTCTTGGATCTGCTTGAGGACATGGGAACACATCAGAAACTCCCCCGACGGCCTAGGGAATCTGAGAATCAGCCGAATGGAAGATTCCGTAGGATTCCAGCGTGAAGGTTAAGAAAGGGCTCCTAAGAGAAAAAACCATTGAACGACCATGCTATGTGCTTCTTGCCTGCTCCTGGTGGATAGAGGCCCACGAAAAAGAAAAATCACCGGTTTTCCGCGTTCGATTCCGAGATCCCTGTCATGGGGACAATCTTTGCCTCCAATCAGGGATCGTATCCCGCAACCCAAGTGAGCACAGGCGTCACACTCTGTCAGTGACCTTCGAAAGAAGACCCAAACCCCTAAAAAAAACATGGGCCAACGTGGATGGCATGGGGAATGGTCCACTTCTACCCAAACACTCCATGCATATGGAATATATATATATATATATACTATATATGTATATATATATATTTGGTGTATACATGCATACATTGACACCCCAAAACACCCCAACTGCTCGGCAAATAGGGCAGTCCCAAGGAGCGTCTGGGCTATGTGTTTTGGAGGGCAACGACTTTGGACACATCAAGTGCGTCAGTGCGTCATCTTTTGGAAGGAGTCACTTCTCGTCAGTCGCTGACAAGTCAGCGCGTCAGCCGATATGCCAAGGGTTGCCGGAAGTGTACCTTTGCTGAGCTTTATATACAAAAGCTTGCCGCAAGACTGCAACATCATGATGGATTGAGCTCAAAATGAGGGAGCACCTGCTCTTCAGCTGCTTTCCGTCGAACATCTGTCATTTCTAGGAGTCCCAGAAGAGATAACAAATACATGTGCTAACATCACAGGAAAGAATGCAAACAAAATCAAACCAGTCCTGCGACAGCAAAGGTAACACATAAGATGGGCTTGGGCCAAAGCACAGCTGGCAAAGCAACTTTTGCGATCTCTCAAGCGAACAAACACAAAAAGCGGGAAGTGGAAGACCAAGCGTAGCCCTCGCAAAAAAATAGAAAACAGAAGACCCAGCATTCCCTACTCACAGGTGGGTGTCTATTGCAATAGGGAGAACTCCCCAAGACCTTCTGGAAGAAGGAACACAAACCCGTCCAAACCCATTGGTTGGGCCTATCCCTATTCAAAATACACCCCGTGTGTTTGGCCTCCCAACTCTACGGATTCTTGACACCTCAAACACCCAACACCACACATTGCAGGCCACGGGCCCGGTGGTGATTGTTCAAGCACTATCAGGTCTGGCACACTCTGCTGGGATGCAAAATCCTGTTTCATCCTTTTTCTATGTGAACACTGTCTACTTACTTGGGGCAAAGAAACCCCAGGTGCGTCAAACGTTCATTGCATTATATTGTATTCATCAATCTCCACCGCTCTGGCAGGTCGAGCTTTGTTATTGATCTTCATTCTTGTAAAGGTCATCCCTCTAAGCAAATAAACAACCAATCTCGAGAACATGACGATGTCAGCCGAAAGCCTTGGCACAAGCTGAAACCCGCGTCTTTGTAGGGTTCGTCTCCTCAAAACCGCTGCTCTTCGAGCAGGGATGAGGGTCAGTTGCACCACAACGTTGCGGTTCGGGGCCAAATGCGGCTTGTCAAATGGATTAGAAAAGATCTAAATCAAACACTCCCTGGAATTCTCATGCCCAAAGGCTCAGAAAGGTCTCTCATATATAAAAAGGTGTTTAACCCTCACAACTTGGGTTTAGGAGCTGAACATGTAGCAGTTGCTTCGGGTCCGAGTTTGGATCGCCTCGAACGGGTGGCTTTGGGGTCCTGAAGCGAGACTGAAGCGGTGTGGGTTTCAAGCTGCGTGTACGAAAAGAGGATAACTACAACATAAACACCTGCAAGGGCAGGATCATGCTGCAGCTTGGCTCTTTTATCCATAGCACGCAAAGTGGATCTATGTACGGTTCTTGATCGATAACGTTGTAAACACATATCAACAGAACAGTGGCCCTACAGGTCAGTCGTTCCTTCCTCCTTATAGTCTGGATCTACGCTCAGACCGGTGCTGGGGACCTTGGAAACGGTCGCCTACCTTGAAATCACTGACTCTAAGACTAAAGGGATTCGGACTTAGACAGGGGGCGTTTGGAGGTTTTTCAGGATTTCCAGGATTTCCCATGTGTCCCCCAAGTCACCGACCAAAAGCTTCAATTCTTGAAGCACTCCTGGTCTACTGGCCCTGGAGTAGACTGAAATTGGGAAGACTCACCCTATGTTTTATTTGAGCACACATTTTGTGCTTTCTGTTGCTTGTCTTCTGCGCCAACCGACGCGCTTGCGCGGTCGGCCCCGATGACCTGATTTTGAAACGAAGACTTCGAAGAGAAACGCCTCGAAGAGGCGCCAAAGGTTTCGTGGTCGAGTACGACGAGTGGGACCGGAAGACCTCTATCCAACCAGCCTGCAAGCTGGGTGAAGCACTGGTTTTGAAAGAATCTGTGTGAGTGATCAAATGGGTACATGATGGTACATGGTTGAACAATTTCAAGAATATGAGACATGTTAACATAAAAACAAAAGATAAGTAACACACACAAAAACAGAACACAATATAATCCAAACACAAGACGAAGAAGAAGAAGAAGAAAAAGAAGAACTACTACTACTACTACTACTACTACTACTACTACTACTACTACTAC